CCATTGTGCTGAAATGCTGCACTGCAATCCAGTCAAAGAAATTAGTAACCCTTTTTTTTTCTTCTTGTTAATCTTTCACTTTTGATGCAAATTCTCCATTGTATGCCAAAAACAATCTTCTTCTGCATAAGCCACAAGAAAAGAATACACGCAATCTTCTATTTCATGATAATAAAAACTGAACTAGTCTGAAGAGCCATCACTCTTCTGAACAAATACTAACATCAGCATGCCTTTATTTTTTGTAATATTGAAGGCATTGCAATTGATAAATCATTAATTACTTTCTCATGGATGTCTCTTACATGAGAACCCCTGCACTGTAAAGTCACCTCTGACAACCAAGCCTTTTCCAGAAATAGTGGTGTGGGTTTGGGCTTTAAGCGAAAATGACACTGACAATAAATAGCAAGCGGTCAAATTGACATGTCATAGCAGATCACATCATGTCAGCACACCATAAATAGCAATTTCATTACAACAGTACACTTACATGGGGCATATGGAGTTTCTTTTTCCATAATTTACAGACATTTGTGCTTGAGAATATTTATTTCTGAAATCCTAACTGGTTAATTGAAGTATGTTTTGAAGGAGGTTGAGTAATTAGGGTGAAATTAGGAACTTTTATTAGCCGACATTATTTTAGGATTAAGCTTTAAATTAGATTTTAAATATCTGTGCCATTAGTAATATTACCACCATACATTAATGCTGTCCAGATATGTTTGCAGTAATGAATGTAATAAAATAGACTGGTTTAATTGAGGGCTGTCCATTTTTTTGAGGCAGTGTTTCTGCTTGAATAAATCTATATATAAGTGAATCTTATCTCTAAATTAGAAATGTAAAACTGCCACCCAGCTTCTTTAACTTTTGGTTGGGAAATGATCCCCACCCCCACCCCAAAGCTTAAAAGCTTTGAAGCAATAATCCAAATATCCATATCTTCAGTCCCTAACTCCCATCTTCTGTGATTTAAAGTCAATCTGTTTTTCCCTTTAATTTTCATTCCTCTTTAACTCAACTCAACTTGGTTTAAAAAGCCCTTTAACACAACCACAGCTGCCACAAGGTGATGTACATATCAGGTAAAGTTATAATTTTATAAAAACAACACAACGTTAAAAGGTTTTGAAAAATTAAATAAATTAAAACAAATAAAATCAAATCAAAAACAATACAACAAACCACAAACACAAAAGTTTCTGCTGTGTTACAAGCCAATGTCTTTTCTCTTTATCTCAAATCTACACTTTTGTTTTCAACACTGATTCTCACTAAATATCATCTAATGATGCTTTAATCTGTTCTGTATTATTTCAACAATTTTTCAAATTCTTACTTTTATTAATGCGTCTTTTGGTTATGAGTCTATGTAAATCTGGATTCTCTACATAATTCTTTAAGATTTATTTCAAAATAAAGAACTAGGAGAGGTGAGACTCTTCTCAAAGAGCCAAGCGCCAAGGGGAAACACATAAAAAAGATATCAAAAGTTATCTGCATCGACATTTTTCAACTCTTTTGTTTAATCAAGTTACTGGAATTATAATTTTATCTTGCTTTTGTTTATCTGTATTCATTTACCTTCCCTATGTTTTCAAATTTCCCCTCTACTAAACATATTTTCCCTCCATTCTTCTTATTTTCCTCCTTACATTTTTCTATTTCTCTTATTATTATTCTACTATCCAATTATAAATCATGGTACCTCACCTTTTTAAATTGTCAGAACCATTATGCCCATTGTTCTTCAATTTTAACTTATCATGAATTAGACATGGACTCAGCAATTTAACACATAATAATACACAAAACCTAATAACAAATTATAATAAACACAATCTCATCCTAGGGAGACATCTTCCTCTCTATCTCACCCCCTCTGGCACACAAACACAGTATTATACACACACATAACCTCTGCCCTCATTTAGAGTATTCCTTGTCTCTAATAGCTGCTAACTCATTTAGCATTTTATGTTAGCCCAGCCAGATCCAATTACAGCAAGAGTGAGAGTGAAGTTTGAGTAGGAGGCAATTTAACCTCCTGACAAAGGGAACTGTAACACATGGCTTCAATTCATTGATATCAGGCACACTAACAGGATTGTGCAACGGAATGAAAAAGTTAAGCAGAAAGAGATCATAGGCCCCATTTTAAAAATGAAAATTATATTTAATAGATTTGCAAAGCTTTAGCATTTATTTTGCACTTTGCTCGAATACTAAGAAGTCAGAAACGTCTCCCAGTAAAATCCAAAAAGGATTAAAGTTAACATAATTGATATATAGCAGAGAAAAGCCTGCATTGGATTCAATGTATGAAGTTGGACACGTCTTGTATCTGCTACATTTTTCTCTGTATACGTGTTTCATGAAACGTTTAGATACCTATTTGGTTGATTAAACCCATTCCAGCTTGTGTTAATGTGCAGAATTTCTGAAGTCAACTAAATCTGTTTCCCTTCATCGTATTTTAACTATGTCTAATTATGTAGATAATGCTAATATCCAGTGAACCAAATTTAAACCAAAAAAGAAAAACGCTCATAAATTATGCCTAGGATAATAAGTATGTCATCTGTAAGTTGCATGGAAATGGGAAAGTTTCCAAATATTATATTTCGTAATATCAGCACATTCTTTTTCCTGTTGAGTTTCTCTAACAACTGAACAAAACATCCAGTCTCCAGTTCATTTTTTAGTATATTTGACATTTTTTTACTTTTTCAAGTGAAAATAAGGATTTAATTTGATTTATTTGTGTATTGCTCGAAGTGTAGCACTTCATGCATATATGTGTACCGTTCTGTTTACATTTGTTTTTATGTTACACAAAAATTCCCCTAATTTACTAATGAAAAAAAAAATTACACCATATAACCCCAAACTATATATCCTGTTGTGTCTACATTAGATAATAAATATATTTGAATGAAAAAGCTTTTGGAAGTCCACACAAGTCAAAACCCAACAAAATAAAATGCTTTTTTTTATTATTTATATTTTTTACTGCCAGTATAATGTTTGTTTTACTGCTGTAAAGGGACACACCTAAAGAAGAGTTCTATATTCGTCTCATCATTCTGGAGAATATTTTATTGTTGTCCTGTGGATCATCAAGATGTTGGAATTGAAACAATGTTTTTTGTTTCTTTGCTCAGGACTAGGTTTTTTTTTTTATGCAGTCTCTTTGTAACTGTGGAGGCATGGACACCGGCCTTAACTGAGGTAAGTGAGGCCTGCACTTCTTTGGATATTGTGGGGCCTTATCTCCTGGAGAACTAATTGCTGCATTATTGGGGTCAATTTAATCAGCTTCTTTGAGAGTTCACCAATGTTCCATGTTTTCACTATTTGTGGATAATTTCTGGTTTGCTGGAGTTCAGAGGATTTAGAAATTGCTGTGAAAGTCTTCCCAGAGTGTAAATCTCACTGACTTTATTTCTTATTTGTAGCTGATTTCTTTTTCCTTTATCTCTATATGATGTCTAGGTTTTGATTATCTTTTGGTTCAGTATACAGGTCCTATTCAAGCAATTTCTTTGTTGAAAATGGGTGTGGTAGTAATCAGACCTGGGTGTGGCTAGAACGAGTGAACTCAAATGTGATCAACCACAGTTAAAGGGTTAGATATCACTTTTTTTTAATACAGGGCCAAAAAGGATTGAATTTTATTTCCAATTAATTATATAAAAAAAAAACTTTGCTTTAAAAACTTCATTTTGTGTTTACTTGTGCTGTCTTTGACCTATATTCAAATCTGTTTGATATTCTGAAACATTTAAGTGTAACAAACATGCAAAAAATGGCAGACCATGAAGGCAACTGCTTTTTCAGACCACTCTGTTGCTGTTGGAGAAATTGTCCTGTTTTTTTTTTTTCTCTTTTACTGTACCTGTTCATTCTTTATCTTCTGATTCTTTTGTCTTTTTCCATAATTGATCGCAGTAGATTTGATCCACATGTCTAACTATCTCTCTCCCTTTTTAATTAAAGGAATTATACATCAAGAGTCCGGTGAAATATATATAAAGATGGAGATGAAGCTTTGCTTAATTGAGGAGACAAGAGGATTGAAGTGATCGCAGCCCAGTAGGGCTTTTTTACACCCAGCATGTCACTAAGAAAGATTAAAGGAGCTTCTAATGCAACTGGTGTGTGACTGGAAGGAACACACTGTGAGGTATTAGGTTTTTTGGCCTCGTACATATGAAGTAAGTGGGGATGAAATTCCCTACGTTAAGTCAATTCATATCTTATAATGATAACCTTAAAAGGCTTTATCTCATTCATACGGTCACTTAAAAAAGAAAAAAAATATTAGATCGATTGTCATATTTTTTTTTTATCTTAACCATTAAAATCATATGTGTCTCTCAAGAAGCGCCTGAGTGGACTATTTTAAATTTTATTTTGCACAGAACCTGCTGCAGGAAAGTTTTTCTAGATGACTCACAAAACGTTTTTTTTCAGCCAATCAAAATGGAGGATTCACCCAGAGGATGGTAACACTAAGAATAGTTTTTTGGATCTGTGAGAACATTTTTATTCTCAAGCTTAATACTGACAATAAATAATACACACTGCATGTGGTAATTTAAAAAAAAAAGAATATTATTGAAAGGTTCTATAAATTCAGTAACAAAGACTAATCTTATTCTATTGTAGACTGAAGTTATTTTCTAAGTTTCTGCTAATTATGAGGATTTTTTTTTTTTTTTACAGCTATGGAGACGTGCATTCAGTTTCTTAGAATATTAGATAAATAAAATGGATTAAAAACAATAATATAGTTTTGGGCCTAATTAAGAACATGTTTAATACTTGTTTAAAGTTTGTATTTTCAAAGGTAATTTTGTTTTAGGAAAGGGTAGAAACACATATTTCTAATGTACCTGTTTGCAAATATTGTTGTATAGTGTTAGTACAACATTAAGTGTGATTTCTAAACTTTCACTGGAGCTCATTGAACATTAGTGCTTTTATCCTACCTTGGGTCTTTCTGTATAGAGTCGATGGATGGTGAACGCTGCAGGCTTCCTTCCGGTGGTAGGGCTGGTCCAGACTTGCTGTAAGGAGATTCCACCACAGAGGGGCAGTATTGTAGGGTGCGGTAGGGGTCCGCAACATAAGGGTCTGACCCATAAACATCTCCCCCTCCGCCGGCGCTCGAAGTATATCCTGGCCCCACTGTGGCATAGTTGTTGGTCCCACCACGACTGTAGCTCCCTGTCCCAGTGCCGTGACTTCCTGTTCGCTGCAAAGGGGTCGAGTCTACACCAGGGGAGGAGGGTGCTATGGGGGCAAAGTACGGACAGAGGACATAACTTAGGTCACGGACGTGGCTATGGACATGCATCATCAAGTCTATAGAAGAGAGTAATGAGGGGAAGAGATGGAGAGGAAGAAGGGACAAGAAGGCAAGCATAGGAAAGGAGAGGAAGTACAGAAAGGCAGGAAAGGTTGGAAAAGTAGGTTATTAAAAACAAGCCTGTAAATTGAAAACTGTAGATTAACATTACATTAAAATACATATTTATATATACTAAAATGTTTATTGACAATGAATACATACATTTAATATAATTTATTACAGCTCAATGCAGTAGGTAAAATTTTTCTTCTCTGGCTAGATTTAACTTATACCCAGTATCCGTTGCAGTGTTAGAAAAATATGTTTAGAGGTAGTTCCAGTATCATGATGGAGTAAAAGAAATTTATTTGGAGAAGTTTCGAGAATATAAAAAACATACATATATGTAAGTGACACAGAAACCCATTAATTCTGTAATATATATATATATATTCCAAGCTTCTGTATTTCTCATTAGAGTTGATAATCTTATATGAGTATAGTAATAGATGCAAACAGGCAGCACAGACTTTGCAGCTTTCGCTTTTTCCTGCATCATTCCTGGATCCGCAATAAATCAAGATGTTGATGTGGGTCTAGGGGGTTTGTTCCTCTGGCTGTAGTGAGACAAACTGTTGAAGGAGGTACATCTCATCTGTCATTTGGACCAAGCTATCCGTACACTAAAACACGCACACACACACATGTAAAACCACGCAATCTGTTCTTCAGGAATTGAGAGAAATCATAGTCTTTTAATCAATATGGGACCATGTGATTAACACTTTAACACAGACCAATGGGCCTCTTTTCACAATCAGAGAGCATCTCTGCTTGTCAAGCCGTAAAGCAAAGACACTTAACATAAATGCATACATGCAAGGACAATGCAATCACAAATGAAATAACTTGTTGTGTGTCTCCGAGTGTCTTTCAAGGCTGAGTGTCTCATCATTATGTGACCAACAAACTTGCTCTTTAGTGCTATCTTGAGAGCTGGCATTTGCTTGACCTTCGCAGCCCTCTTGTATCTCTATTTCACCCCTCTCACTCTCACTCTCACTCTCACTCTCTCTCTCTCTCACACACACATCCACACACCCACACACACACACAAAGACATATCTGACATGCTTCAGCTGCATGATTAAGAAGGACATCCCATAACAGAATCACATATCAAGCCCCTTTTTTTCACCTTTTTTTAATATTATTTTGATAAAAAAGAAATCAAAAAATCGTGTTGACATACGTTCTTTTCTCGGTTTAAAAGAACAACGATGGGTAATGCTGACTGCATGAGACATTCTGATACCGCCTGAATGTGGAAATCCAAAAAATTTGCTAAGGCAAAAAAAATAGTTCAGCTAAAAATTGACAGGGGAGCAGCTTAAAAAGACCAAGAGTTGGAGTAAGAGAGGAAGAGTATAGAAAGGTAATGGTGCAGAGTACATCCCATCAGAGACAAATCGTCTCTATACGCTTTAAATAGTGTCCATGGTGAGTCTGTCCTTCTCAACGTCTCATTAGTAGCCAGGGCTTTAGGCTAACAATACCACTTTCACTGTGCACTCACTGAGAGACATGACATCCAAATAGGACATACCCCTGAGCAAAAGATGGAATGGAAGAACAGCAAAAGGCAGAAGAGTTGGTCAAATAGTCTACCATAGGAAAAAAGAGAGCTGTCCTTTTCTCTCTCCAGCAGATTGAGCTGTGACCAGTGAAAAGGAATATTCTTGGTGAGAGGCTGTGAAAGGAAACTAAGAAGGTAAGTGGGGATAAAATGTAGACAGGGTAGGGGACAGAGAGGAAGTCTTCTTGACTAAGGTTTTAACCTCACTTATTCTGAATTTTCACTTGTGGATTATGTACACTCAGCTTTTACACCCCCTCTTTTTCCATTCAGTATGAAACTGTCTTTCCTGATTGCTTTGACAAATGAGTCTCCTGACAAATTAGCTGACCTTTAAAGCTATTACAGAATTCATGGGTTTCTGTGTCACAACTGCTCATATTAAAACAATGCAGGAACATACTTACAATGCTTTGCAGAATGATTCACATCTTTTAACATTTTTTATGAATATGTGCCGCTTTATCAAACTTAAAAGTATTTCATCTGTATATATTGGACTGTTAAGTGTAATATGTTTGTATTTAGCTCCCCTAATTCAAAAGATTGTTAAACAACCAATTGATGCAATATTAACCAGAAGGCTTTTAGCTTTTTTTCTCCTAAGATTTTACACAGAAATACTGACAGCAAATCCACCAATGGATTCCCAATTCAGTTCAGGTCTAGACTTTGGACCATTCAACCAAATATTTTTAAGCTGATTTTGAGTGTTGTTGTTCTGCTGGAAGTCGAAGCTTAGTATAAAGTCTTTTACAGCCTCTTACAGAATCACTCTCAGGATTGCTCCTCATTTAAATCGATTTGTCTTTTAATGAGCCCTGATCAGCACCTACTAAAAAAATAATTACAAAAGATTAATATAGATGGTAAAACAGGTAAAAAAAAAGTCAATACTATAATTTTAACAGGGGAAACAGACTAGATGCTTAATTTACCCTGAGTCAAAATTTCTGCTCTGAAACTATGCATAAGGATTAAGAATCAATATTGTTCAGATATAAAAATCACAGAGTTAAACCGAGCATCATCTGTAATAACTACATGTATGTGCTTCCTTCAATATTGCTGTCCTTGAGCAGTCACTAGGCTCAGAGGTATTCCTATAAAGAATTTGCCCAGAGCGCTGCTTTTATTAGAATGTATCACAGCAAGTCGTTGTACTTCTTTAAGTAAAATTCAAGGTAAAATTGGATTTTAGCCTGGTAGAGTATTTTTAGTCAACAAAAAATGTCGGTTTCCACTGCAGGAAAATAGCAGAAAGCAAACTCTTTTTACTGTTTCACAAAATATAAGGCACATCATGGAAAGTGGCGCGTGTGTGTGTTTGTATACTGGCAGACACATAAACACATGCATGTTCCACTAACACCTCTCACACCTTACACTCTGGCAGTGTGAAATTGTGTTTGAGAATAAATAAAAAGGACGGTCTATCATTGCATTCCCTCGCTTGGGCATAGAGTAAACAAATCGTGGCCGTGCTCCTGCTGGCAGATTTGCGACGGAAAGGGAAACTCTATTAGTCATTTGACACAGTGATATCTCTGCAATTAGCCAGTCAGCTGAGGGGCCGCCATGCTTAGAGAGGGGCCCACTTCCCTCTGTGCAGCAGTTTAGATGAGGGATCTCTCACTGAATGCACAAGAGGTGGAATGAAGAACATATAGTAAGAGGAGAGAAAAAAAATACTAATAAGAGATCAAGCCAATCCTGAGAGCATTTTACGTATCTGTTAACGTCTCATTCTTTCATCTCTTCTTTCATTCTTTTCAGCCCCACTCTGTCATCCTTTCTACACCATCACTCTCCTTATGTGCCTTTTTATCTCTCTTTGGTGCTTTCTGTCCTGTCTGTCTTTACCTCAATTTTTTTTCATCCCCTAGATGCCTTGAAAACCCCCCATTTGAGATACAGCCCTCCATTCTATTGTTGTTACTTCCACACTCTCTGCTCCCCTGCTTTATGTCTGTCATTCTCTCTCCATCACTCGTTCATTTCATGTTCATCTCCCCCTTTCTTCCCTAGCATCCCCCTGTCTATCCATCTTTCTCCTTCTTCCCCTCTGTCGCAGCTCTTGTAGAATATGTGATCAGAGCTGAGGACAGATCCTTCGTCTCGACATGCTTCAGCGCTTAGCGGGATTACACAAAAATCTTCAGTACAGTTTATATCTCTCACATAGACTCACATCAGTGCTAAACTGCACAAGCAGGGGCCTCTAAATATGTAAGTGACTGATGTAAAAGGAATCTGCATATTTAGCACACAGGTCATTCAATACAGTATGTACAAAGAACATTGCTTAAAGTAGCCATAAAATGTGCTTGCCAAAGCTTAACCCCCCCCTCCCCATGTATACACTCTTTGGACTCTTGGACATATAAGAACGTAAGAAGTCCTTTCTTCCTTTTATCCCTAGGGAAACTTTTAGGCCAACACAGTTGTGTTGTTCTAAACTAGAGGAGCTCGAAGTTCCAAATCATGCACCACCATGTGCACAAAATGCTCTTCCCTGAGGGTGCAATAATTTGCTAATGCAAAATCTATAGAGCACTTGGTTCCAAGCAGGAAAATAAAAGGTATTTCCCAGAGCTCGTCATTTAACAGGTAGTAGTGGCTTTAGACCAGGGTCTGCAGCAAATAATAGTCCTTTATTACACTAAATGTTGTTTTTTTTATCTAACATGGTCACATAAATATGAAAGCTTAAAGTCACTTTTAGTGTCTAAGTTTATTCTTAGTTATGAGGGGATATTTTGGTATTTTAAATGTGTGTTTCCTCAGCTATTTGGTTCAATTGGGTATGAGATAACCTATCAACTCTAAATTAAACCTTAGAATAACATAATTCATAGCGGATTGTCCCAAAAGTCCTTGTGAAAAACCTGAGCCTCTTCAGAATCTATCCGTTTTTTGAGTCCTCAGTGATTTCTTTATGAGAAACATTCACTTGACATGAAATAATCTTTTTTAGTCACAATGACCATACAGGTGAGTGGCCTATATATTTCTCTAAAATTTACATTTTTCTTTACAGAGTTTCTTATGATTTATCTACATTTCTGTTAATATGTTTATCTCGCCTAAAGAATACATACCTAAAGCTTCATAAAACCATGTTATTTTTTTAACTATCTAAAAAATTCCATAACTGGAGGTAAAAATAATTATTTCTAATAACTTTTTAACTCTTATCTATGGACAATGTTACATTACTCACCTTGATGTTATATAATCAATAACTAGATTTTTTTAAAGCAATTACAAAAAAAAAAAACATTTAATGCATATTTCACTTAATTAACCTCATCTTACTCCTGTAAATCACATTTATGAAAGAGGCCTAATCCTTTACTTATAATATAATAAAGTTCC